CCGTGGGGCGCGGGCCCGGGCAGCCCCGTGACCTTGCGTCTCTCCTAGACGGCTGCCGCGCGGATCCCGTCTGCGACCCCGAGAACGCCTTCTCCCAGCGCTGAGCCCGGAGAGCACCTCGTCCTCCCCATAACCGCCTCCAGAAATAACGAAAATTAAATAAAGCAGATTTTCTTCCCTCCAACTCCTCTGAGTCTGTTGTTATTGTTGTTAGCGGTCGCCCGGTGGCTTGCGAATCAGGGCGACCTCATGTGTGCAGAGCAGAATTGTTCCACGGGTTTTTCACAGCTGCGGCCTCTCGGAAGCTGCTCACCAGGCCTGCCTTCGGAGGAGCCTCTGGGGGGGGCGGGTCAGGCCGCCAACCTTTGGGCTAGTGGGTGAGAGCGCTTAACCACCTGCGCCCCTCAGTGTCAGAATTGGGAGGGGAGGGCTTTGGGGGAGTTCAGGAACGTGCCCAGCCGGCCCTGCTCCCTGGCTCTTGGCAATTCATAGCAGGAATTCAGAGCCAGCCTAGGAGAGAAGCTTCCGGGCTTGCTGCCCAGGTCCCAACCGGTGGCGGGTGAAGCGGGAAGAGGCACTACAGGGCCAGCTCTAGAGACGGAAACAGCTTCTGTCTCCCCATTCCAGTCTGAGGCGGGGGCCTATAGCAGTCCAGACTTAAAAGGAACTTACAAAAGTCCAAAACGTTGAAGGTGGGGTCATCAGACAGAGCTGAGGGTCAAAGTTGGTCTGACAGGGAAGAAAGGACTGAAAGCCAGTGGACAGATAATGACTCCCCGACAGCTGGAAGGGGGCTTGAAGGAAGGGAGCTGCCCGGGGATAAGTAAGAGCTACAGGGTACAAGGGGAGGGCCGCTGAAGGACCAGCCATGGTTCGAGGGAGGCAGATGCTCAGAGAGACCCCAAGGAAGAAGCCCAGCCTGGGGGAGAGGCTGGCCGTGGGGCTAGCATGACAAGTGCCTGTCATCCTGCCAAGGAATCCACACCTGCCTCTACAGAAAACAAGGTAGCTAGCAGACCTGCAGGAGGACAGGGCTCCCGAGAGCCCAGGGCCACAGAAATGACCACAAAAATCAAAGGACAGGGACCAGCAAAGAGAGCCACTCAACTGGCACGTCTCATCCATTCCCGGATCAGAGATCTCTTTGGGAATCAGATAAAAGCCTACTCTTTCTCCAGAAATGTCCCCATTCACCTACTGTGTCACTAGGCAATTTCAGGAGGTCATGCCCACGCTCCTACTCCGAATGAGGCAGGAGCAGATCATTATCTGCGAATAATAAAAAAATGTTATTTCTGAGGCTCTCTCACAAGCTGCAGTGCCACAGAGCAATGACGATGACCCAGCTCCAAGCAGATAACCATGTGTGGGTCTTTTTTTTTTTTTTAACTTTTTTTTTTTGTGATTGGGGTGAAAGTTTACAGAGTAAAGTCATTTTCCAGTCAACAATTCATACACATTTTGTTTCCTAACACTGACTGCCATCCGCACAATGTAACAGCAGCCTTCCCACTTCCTCCCTGTGTTGCCAGTCGTCCTTTTCTCCTATTCCTTCCTGCCTTCTGGGCTTTATCCCTGGGCAAACGCTGCCCTTCTGCTCTCACGTGCTTGACTGTTCTAGGCAGTGCTACCTCCATAGTGTTTGTTGTTGGTCACTTTGTAGCCCTGGGTGTTATTTAGCTGAAAGTAGAGCCACAGGGGTGAGTTCAGCTTCAAGTCTGAAGGGTAACTAAGGACTGCAGTCTCGGTGTCCACCAGTCTCTATCAGACCAGTAACCAAAAAAACCAAACTCACTGGTGTCGAGTTGGGTCCGACTCATAGCGACCCCTCCTTGTGTTTCCAAGGCAGTGTCACTAAACCTTCCTTCTGAGAAGTGGCTGGTGAGTTTGAACCGCCAGCCTTCTGGTTAGCAGTCAAATGCCTTAGGCACTACGCTACCAGAGCTCCTATCAGACTAGTAGGCCTGGTCTTTTTTTATTGTTTGGAATTTTGTTCTACATTTTCACAATGTGTGGATTTCATAAACAGAGACTAGAAAGAAAAACCCAAATTCTGAAGACTGTAAGATGTTGTTTATATAAATTACAAAAAAGACAGGCAAAATTAACCTATGATGCTAGAAGTCTTGGGGGGTGTAAGTCACTGGCAGGGGCATAAGGGGGTTCCTGGAGTGCTGGCCTCCTGAATTGTAAGAGAATAAATCTCTGTTGTTTTGAACCACCCGGTTTGTGGCAATGCATTATGGCAGTCCTAGGAAATGAATACAATACCACTTACAATACAAAAATAATGATAATAATGTTGTTGTTGTTGTTACATGCCATCGAGTCAGACCCAACTCATAGCGACCCCCCACCTTGGGTTTCTGAGGCAGTGTCACTATGGAAGTAGATTGCCCCATCTTCCTTCCGAGGAGTGGCTGGTGGGTTTGAACCGCCAGCCTTCTGGTTAGCAGTCAAGTGCCTTAGGCACTACGCTACCAGAGCTCCCAACATGATAATAGTACTTAGGTAGAAATCTTACTAAATACGTGTAAAACTCATATGTTAAAAACTACAACATGCTGATGGTAGAAATAGAAGAAGACCTGAATAACTGGAGAGAGATGCTGTGTTTATGGTTTGAAAGAGTCACCATAGTAAAAATGTCAATTCTCCCCAAATTGATCTGCAAATTCAATACAATTCCTATCAGAATCCCAGCAGGAACTTTTTCATATGTACAGAAATCATTAGGTTGGTTCTAAAATTTATGTGGAATGGCAAAGGAACTAGAGTAGCCAAAGGGATACTGAGAAAGAAAGACAACATTGAAGGACTCATACTATCTGATTTCCAGACTTCGTATAAAGCTGTCATATCAAAACAATGTGGTATTAGAAAAAGGCTAGGTTTATAGATCAATGGAATAGATTAGAGAGCCCAGTTATATACCCACACATATATGGCCAAACGATTTTGACAAAGTTGCAAAGACAACAGAATAGAGAAAGAATGGGTGTTTTAATAAATAGTGTCTGAACAGTTGGCTATCTAGATGCAAAAGAAATGAACCACAATTCATAACTCACACCCTATTAAAAATTAGCTCACACTGGATCTAGACCTATTACTAGAAGTATTTGTGATCTTGAGTTATGTAAAGATTTCTTAGTTCTTGAACTGAACCCACCCCTGAGGGTCAACTTTCAGCCAAAATATAGGCAGGTCTATAAAAGGAATAAATAATAACACAGAAGGAACATACTCCTCAGTACAATCAACCACAGGAGAACAAAAGGACAGGATTTGCCCCAAAACAAAGCTCAGAAGGCAGGAAGGGGCAGGAAAGAAGGACAAATGGAAACAGCACCCAGGGAGAAAGTGGGAAGGGTGCTATTAAATTGAGGGGATTGCAACCCATGTCATGAAACTGCTGCTATATGGAAAATGAGTTTGCTCTATAAACTTTCACCCAAATACCAATAACAGCATCAAAAACAAATGAAAAGATTTCTTAGTTCTGACACCAAAAGCAAAGACAAGGTACAGATGGGAGAAAAGATCTACATCTCAGTAGGTATTCCGTCATTTCCTGGAGCCTTGTTTTTCATTAGTTCCTTCAGTGCAGCTTCAACTTCTTTCTCCAGTACCATTGGTTCTTGATCATATGCTACCTCCTGAAATAGTTGAACATTGACCAGTTCTTTTTTGTGCAGTGATTCTGTGTATTCCTTCCACCTTCTTTTATGCTTCCTGCATCATTCAATATTTTGCCCATGTTGTTGTTGTTATGTGCCGTCGAGTCAGACCTGACTCACAGCAACCCCTCCTTGGGTTTCTGAGGCGATTTCACTATGGAAGTAGATTGCCCAACCTTCCTTCCGAGGAGTGGCTGGTGGGTTTGAACCACCAGCCCTCTGGTTAGCAGTCAAATGTCTTAGGCACTGTGCTTCCAGAGCTCTTAAATATTGCAACTCAAGGCTTGAATTTTTTTCTTCAGTTCTTTAAGCTTGACAAATGCCAACTGTGTACTTCTTTTTGGTTTTCAAATTCCAGGTCTTTGCACATTTAATTATAATAATTTACTTTTCATTCTTGAGCTGCTCTTTGAAATCTTCTGTTCAGCTCTTTTATGATGTCATTTCTTCCATTTGCTTTAGCTACTCTCCACTCAAGGGCAAGTTTCAGATTCTCTTCTGACATGCATTTTAGTCTTTTCTTTCTTTCCTGTCTTTTTAATGACCTTTTGCTTTCTTCATGAATGATGTTCTTGATACCATCCCACAGTTCATCTAGTTTTCAGTCACTGGTGTTCAATGCATCAAATCTACTCTTTAGATGGTCTCTAAATTCAGATGGGATATAATCAATGACATACATTGGCTCTCATGGACTTTAAAAAAATTTTTTTCAACTTCAGCTTGAACTTGCATATAAGCAATTTGGTGGTTTGTTCCACAGTCATCTCCTGACTTCTTTTGGCTGAGGATACCGAGCTTCTCCATCACCTTTTCCCACAGAAGTATTCAATCTGATGTCTGTGTATTCTATCTGGTGAGGTCTGTGTGTATAAGCTGCCATTTATGTTGTTGGAAAAGGTATTTGCAATGAATAAGTCATTGGTCTTGCAAAATTCTATCACATGATCTCCAGCATCATTTCTATCCCCACGGCCATATTTTCCAACTACTGGTGATTCTTCTTTGTTTCCAACTTACACATTCCAATCACAAATAATCATCAATACATCCTAATTGCATGTTTGGTCAAAATCTTCCATTTCTTCATCTTTGGCTTTAGTGGGTGGTGTGTACATTTGAATAATAGTAGTATTAGCTGGTCTTTCTTTAGGCACATGGATATTATCCTATCACTGACAGCATTGTCCTGCAGGATAGATCTTGAAACATTCGTTGTGACGATGAAAGTGGCACCGTTCCTCTTCAATTTTTCATTCCCGACATAATACATCATAGGGTTGTCTGACTCAAAATGGCCAAGCCAGTCCATTTCAGCTCACTAATGCCTAGGATATTGATCTTTATGTGTTCTATTTCATTTTTTACAACTTCTAATTTTCCTAGATTCACACTTTGTACATTCCACATTACAATTATCAATG